GAGTCGATTTTCTTTAGAACTGAGTGATCTCTTCATCGTGTACTACACATTCTGCCGACTGTTGCATAGCTAAAATGAGAATGCATGTTAACTGTAAAACCTAATCACACGTGGACACCTTCTTTAAGTGGTTGTCTTGAGGATCAACCACGAATTTTAAAACGAAAGCAATCTAACTTGTTTTTGTTTTGTTTTTTTTTTTTTTGGGGGCTCGAACGTGGGGGCTGGGGGTGTACTTGTGCGTGTGTTTTAGACAGAATCCCGTGTATAAATCGTCTCGTTTGTAGCTTACGAAACGTCCGTTGGTTTCTAACTCAGTTGTGCCTCGTTCGTGGCCTGAAAATAATGTCCACAGGAGAGCACCTGAGGCCTGCCCCGTTCAACCTCTGCAACTCAGGTAAAGCTGGGAAACGTCGCCAATGACTATAAATACCGGTTCGGTTGTGAAACGTAAAATCCGCAAAAAACACATACATAATTCGCACGGTGTCTGTCTGTAGTCGACGGTGTCTTAACTTAATTCTTCATGTGGGTGTTAGTTGAGTTGGTGTGGTTTTGTTTCAATGTGTGTTTTTTTGAATGGGGGTTGTTGTGGTGGTGGGTTCCTATTTTGGGGTTTGGGTGTTTTTGGGTGGTTGGTGTGCGATGTTTTGTAAACAAGGGAACCTGGGAGTTGTTGCTTTTTGGGTCGTGGTTATTGTTCGGTGTTCGTAGTATATGTGTTAGTGTTGTTTGTTTTTGGGTTGTTGTCTTGTTGATTTGGCGTGGCTTTAGGTCTTGAGTTATGTTTTGGTCGATGCGTGGGTTTGGGTCGTGGGTTTTTGTTTTTTGGGTTGTTATTGTGGGTTTTTTTGTGTTTTTGTGTTTGTTTTTTGGTTTGGTGTTGGGTTTTCGCATTTTTAATTGACTTTTCGTATGGGGTTTGGTGCTTGTTGTGTAAGCATGATTGGTCGGGGAGTTGTTTGTTGGGCAATGGCGCGCTGTGGGTTGATTAGTGTTGTGGGTGTGGTTGTTGTTGGTGACCTTGTGGTCTTTTTTTTTTTTGAAGTGGTATTATTTGCTGTTTTGGTAGTTTGTTTTGTCTGGTTTGTTGTTGTGTATTGCGTCGTTTTTTTGGTCTCTGTTGTTTTTGTTACTTTCGCTTGATTCTTTTGGGTGTTGGTTTTTTTTTTACGTGCTTGGTGTTGTTTTTTTGGGGTTTAGTTTGACTTTTTGTTTTTTTTTTGATTTTTTGTTTAGTATTTTCGGATTGTTTTAGTTTGTTTTTTTTTTGTGGTATTTTTCTTTTTGTTGTGATGTATTTCTAGTTGTTGCTTATTGGTTTTTCTATATGTTGATGTGTTCTTTGTTTTTTGATATTTGTTTGTTGTTTGTTTCATTGCGAATTGGTTGAACTATTGTATGCTACTGTTATATGTTGGAGTTTAACCTCAGGATTTTGATATATGTCCTCTCGATTTTTCAGTTATTCTCATTTGGAATATGGGTCTTTACTGAATATTATGGATAATAGTTGTTGTTAAATGATCATTTATGCATGTTTACGATTATTTTGTTTGTACGATATAGGTGAATTGGAATTTATTTACTAAAAATTAGCATTTTTATAATATTCAAGTTATTTGCAGCACATTTCTTGTATAAATTGAATGCTATTTAATTTATCGTATATATATAATCCAAAATTTGAGTGGCGCTTACCAAACGTAGAAATACTGGTTGGATGCTTAAACTTATACATATGAGAGTCTTTTTCACACCCATTTATTAATAGTTGGAATATTGGTAGTATATGCCTGTAAAAGGAAGCCTCCGCTAGAGAGTTTTTTCTTATCTTATTTAATCAAGTTGTGCTGTAATGAAAAAATCATTTTTCAATTGTTTAGGCTCGTTTTGCATAAAAAAATATCTAGAGGAATGACTCTAAATTTGCTATTACAGGTATTTGATTCAGACCTATATGAAATGGTACAAAAATATCGGAAAAATATTTCAAGTCTCATCATGTCAGAAAAAATTCTGGTCTCTTTAAGAAATGACAGAAAGTGTACATATGGCATTTCTAGTTTGAGTACGATACTTGCTGTCACCTTGGACTTAACGAAGTTTGAAGTGTATGTTGCATTCTTTATATTTAATAATAAATCAATAATGGAAGAATTAATATAAAACAAAGAAAATATTTTTGAAAGATCGTGCATAAAATTACTGGGTACTCGTATTTTGTTAACTGTTCATTGCAGTAATTACTTTATATTAAGAAAAGAAACTTATACATTTACATAATTGTATCCATTATCGAACAAACTGAGAATAACATAAATCAACAAGAAATAATCATCTAATTTGTTCTTACAGTCTACATGTATAACTAAGTGATATGTTCTGAAACTACAGGGTTAGGTTGGGGCCATGTAACACCGCTCTTTGGGGTCAAACGCACATGTGTTACGTACTTTGGGGTACAACTGATGTGTGCCGATAATTGTAGAGATTGCATGTCACACATCAAATCAAAATCCAGTTCATTATACGATATGAACTGCTCAGCACATTGAAAATGTGGATTTACCCTATTTGTAGTTTTATTAAACGGAGGTAACATTTCTGAATTGATAATTTTTTTTCTATGTTGAATGTTGTAGAAAAGGCTGCATTGAAAGGAATTCAGGCTGTGTTAATCTGCATGCCCCTACTCGAAAAATGAAACATTTAAGATGGCTTTCAAGATGGATGTCATATTATAAGAATTCACCATGCTTAACAAGATCATAAGTGTATTATAACTTAAATGAAATTCACTTCCAATTATTGAATGAATTATTTTCAATCACGTATATTTTGTAATTTCCGGAAAAAGACATCTCCTCTCATTTCAAAATGACAGCGGTTGTGGTGGTACATCACACAGATAAGTTTTTCAAAACATGACTGGTACCTGACAAACGTAAAAATCACGAGGATGTTCGGGGGATGAAAGCCAAAATTTACCGTAAGGCATTAACTGATGTAAAAAAGGCTTGATATCACCGTTACATAACTTTATTTAATTTATGATAAATTTTATTTCTAACTTACTTGTTACAAGTCATTTAGATAGAAATTAAAGTACACTGAGATGACATCAGTTGCATTTTATTACACGCCCATCATGTTTAATTTGGGGTTCAATTTGTCATCAAAAGTTATCTAGTTAATGGCTGACAGAACAGGATATTTTTCGAATTTGTAGGAATACATTCGCAATTTAAGTACTATAGTAGTTTGTTATATAAGGTATTTTAAGTCGTAAAATTAATAAAACACCACATAAACATCAAACATATATTTTTATTACTGCAATATTAGCATCTAAATGACACTTAAAAATATTGATGTATATAGATATCGACCGTCATCTCAAATATTTCAGTGTCGAAGATCGAAAATAAGTCATTACTCAGTATTTAAGCAGACCTCAGAGAACTTTGAAACCCAAAGTGCGTTGATATGTATCAATTTCTCGATTTTGACCCCAAAGTGCGTTTGACCCTAAAGTCCCTGTTACAGGGCCATTTTTTGTTGTACCACCGACCTAAATTAATTTTTAAAAAACAACGCCGAAGCGACGAAACCATACACTGATGTGATTTAGGGATACGCCGAATCGACGAACAATATGCAGAAGCGACAGAACGGTACTGAAACCAAGATTGTTAAATGAGTAGGCAAAGTGACATCATTGGGTATTGTGTATATGTATGTGCATGAGCGAAATAATGGCGATATCACTCCGAAACGAAACGAGAAAGCGATGATACGACGAAACACTAAAGCGATTAAATGGCTTAGCCATGTCACGACAAGACGATAAAATAGAGAAAACGAATATTTAAAGAACGCCTAAACGACAAAACTGGAAACATTGCAGGTTTGGTTTTATTTAACCTGTTTATCGACGGTACTGGAAACTGCAAGTTACCGTCTAGGCCCCCAAGCACCTGCTTAAGCAGAATTAAAACATTGAAACATGAAAAGAGTGAAACTTTGAAGTTAGAAATAGTTGCAGAAGTTTTCATACGGCGGTTATCATGAAACCTTCAATGTGACACTTTCGTGCCATTCCATAAATGTATGGCCGCCAAGTAAATGAAAGCGTGTGTCATAAACGAAGAAACAATGGACGGAACTTAGCAGAACAGGGATAATGATCTAAAGCGAAACGACGATGCGCGGAATCGACAACACAATAAAGCCAAGATCACAACGTACACTCCTTGTCCACTAAAACTTCCGCTTGCGAGTGAGCAAAACGCGAAAAAATCGCCGAATTTAAACTGAAAATTGATAAATAAGTTCAATAAAGACCAATCATGGAGGAATTGTTACTGTTATAACTAGAAGTTGCATAAAAATTATCAATTCCGGCCTAAATCATTTGGCAAAACTTATACATTGTATTTTCAATAAAAATACGATTTCTCACCCCTATTCTGAAAAAAAATGTCACAACTGGTGACTTCGGACACCGATTTCAAGCTTTACGAGCAAATCCTTTGGATATTTTGAAGAATAATCATATGACCTTACAAAAATTAAAAGTATCTAGTGTCAACGCAGTGGTTTAGGAAAAACAATTGACAAATAAATCACTACTGGTGTTGTTTCCTAACTGTATAGTTGCTTACTTACTCATTGTACGGATGCTTGGGAGAACAAATTATAACTGTGTACAGTTGCTTGAGAGCAAGCTATTTTATAATTTCAATGACAATTTATTTAGTTCAGCTACTGTTAATTAATTTAAATTCTAAAATTTCATATAAACGGCATATTACAAGTCAATGTTTTGGAAATGGGAAAATACACAAAACGTTGTACAGTTAATATCGATGTTATAAATTGCATTAAAGAACTTCACATTTTTTATGGAATGTCTTACATGCATGAATTTAAAGTATGTGTTTTGGTTGTTTGTTGTTGGTTTGTTGATGTTGTGTTTTTACTGCTCTCAATGTAAACGATATTTGTGCCAGAAAACAAAAGTCCAGTAGTTAAATGGTCAGAACTGAAGTTAAAATTTGTTTCAAACGATAATCTGTATATTCTGTTTTCATTTTATACTTGACATATACATGAATAATATTATATGTCACTGAATGTTTATTTATTAAACTTCACCCCGCGCCCTCGCTTATTAGCGTGTTTTTGCTCGCGTCTCCGCCATTTTCACTTGTTAATTCTCGACTTTACGCTTGGCGGGGTCGCGCTTCGAAAACACGAATGGCATAAAGCAGCCACAATAATTGACCATGTACAAGTTTCAATAATGGAGACAATTAAATCACTTTAACAGCAAGATAAAACTATATTTCTTATACAAAGCATTTCTTCACATTGGTCTCTATCAATGTGTAATATTTTAATGAAATCCTTTAATACTTTTCAATTTATTTTCTGGTTTTAGCAGGTTTTCATAACGGAGTTATTTCTTTTCTCCTTTTAATATCTTTTAACGTGCAATTAAATTCTTTCACAATGTAACACCATTTTAACACTAGAATTAGAGTTTGTCCCCATAGTAACAAGTTGTACATAAGCTGTTACCCAGTAAAGCTGAAGACAGACACACGGATAAACAGACAAAGCAGCGACTATATGCTCATTTTATTCATGAATATTTATTCTTGCAGTTAAAAACAACTATGTAGTTAAAAACAACTATGTTTTTAAATTGGACATAAATCACGTGTTCATTTAGTAATTCTTTCACTGAAATCTAAGTTTATTTTATCAACGAAACAGTAACCTCATCGAATATATATCGAATAAGAAAACTAATTATCAGCAAAATACACAACAGAGCTTTTATTGATAAAAAAAAGTTTTATGGATATACTCCAACTTCACATAATGTTAAACTACTGTTGCTGTATTTTTCTATCTTCACAAACTGTCCAAAAAGCGGTGTCGAGCACGAGATTTCGACAAGTTCTCCTTTACCACCAGGACCCGTAAATCTTCCACACTGTTTCATCTGACCCTCTACATCCCCAACAGTGACTGTCACATTGTGCAATCGTTCTTCTAAAAAACATAATCAATTCCATAAAAAATGAACGAAAACAAACATTGAAGCATGATTCTCAAATTTGTATTGAGCAGAGAAGTTTTTCATATTCAAGATCATTGTGATCTTCAACTTCATTCATTGACACCCCAAAACACACACACACACCAACACACACACACACACACACCAACACACACACACACACACACACACACACACACACATACATATTATAATATAATAATATGACGAATTTAGGTCAAATTAAGAGAAAACAGATTTTACTGTCAGGTTATTCACCTTCGTTCATCTTTGCTCAAATCAAGACCTGTCTTTTACTAAACTAAGGCGAACGTCAGCTATTAGTGAAATCGAGAAGAAAATTTCACTGTGACCTTGACCTTTCTGCATCTGTGCACCGAAACAATATGGAACTTTTACTGAAGGAGCGTGATTATCCTACACACTTTGATAGTTATGGTTCTATAGCTATTGAGCGAGAACAGTTATCACATTCACCGAGACCATGATCTTGGTGGACGTAAACGGATCTTAAGTAATTCTACTCAATTAAGGTCATCCTTCTATGAAGTTTGAAGGCTAACTCCTGGTTAAATGGTTCAGTCATTCAGTCGTCGGCGCTAAAAACAATAATGATTTTCTACTCACTGAAGGCATCGTCCGATACGCACGGCCGAACCAATAACATTTATCTTATTGGTTATGTTACAATAAAATCAACCCATGGGTATCCGACGATGGCTGAAGGCGATCATAACATACAGTCAATAAGTCTATAAGTTAAGTTATTAAACGGAAACAACTTTGCAAATACAAAGCAACGAAAGTATAATAGACAACTAGTATATTAATGAGTAGGGAATATTACGATAACACCCCTCATTTATAATTAACGATACGATGCGTACAGGTAACATTGCGTTTAAACGTACTGAATTTTCTTGCATATCAGACTGGCGTTTCCGTGAGTTTTACCCATGCCGGAAATTTCATCTGGCATGGGGGGTTCCAGATGAGTCGCGTGCTTTACAATGGAACGGTAAGGATGACGTCATTTTACCGTTATGAATGAAGTTGTAATTCATACGCTGTTGTAAGAAAGTATAAACGATTGTAATGATAAAAAATTTTATTGAAAATAAAGATAAATAATTTAAAATATGACGTAATATGGAAGAATATGCAAAAAAATATGTCTGACATATGTTTGTGGTTCGGATGGGAATATCCGTCCCTCGTTCACCCGCCCATTGGGCGGTAACTCGGCAAGCCTCGTTACCGCCCAATGTGCGGGTCACCTCGGGGCGGATATTCCGATCCGAACCGCAAAATATGACATATAGTATAAATCTCAATACAGATGAAATTGCGATATCATTGAGATTTCATCAAATCATTTACAATATCTGTATTCAAAATGACAATTGACACGTTTTACTTATAACTTGTGTAATTAACATTCACAGAAGCCTTTATGGTCGTTTTTGATATAAAAATTATACTATCGTTTTCAGGTATTGATCTAAACATCAGTTTATAATTGTATGATATAGTCTTAATGTGATAAAAATGGCCCAAGGTGCTTGCCAGCAAGGCTTTATACGTCTGTTTATCCCATGAGCAATTTGTATAACGAATTTATAATAATGCAAACTCTTTTTGGCGAGAGGTTCATTTACAAAACATAAACTTTAGACTGTTCACATGGGAACGCAGCTAAGAATATGATGTCACTCATATATAATTAAATAACGTCATTATCTATGTAATCGTTGCCATTTATGTTATCGTCAATTACTTACTTCTGACTTCAACCCGACAACGTGTTGGCAGGCGATTTAAGTCAAGACTGTGCAGCATCGTTCAGGAAGGGTAACGCATCAAACTTCTATTCATAAATTGATATGCTATCATGTATATTGTGGCAAACTTTTTGGACAAAAGATATATAAGTGTTCGGTAGCAGCGATATATTTATTGGTTTATTAATATTTCAAAGAGACCTGATAAAGTGACCGTTTTGAATGCGAGAGGCCAGGGTTTGAGGGTTTATTCCTTTTAATGACTGAAGGATTGTCAAATAGATTTAACGGCATTGAATGTAAAAATGAAATATCTGCAAAAAGGGTGATCCCAAAGAAGCATCAAAAACAACAAAATTACCTGAAAATTGCAGACTCGGTTTGAGCGGTACTCGACTTTCAACATTTAATGTGTTTGAATCAATGATCCCGGAGGACCAGAAAAATTTAACAACACTAACTTGTCTTGGTGAAAACAAAAACTGCCAAAGAGTTTTCAGGCACTCTTATACCAGGAACATTTTCTAATAGAAGAGGTCATCCCATAGGGTTAACTTATCACGATGCTTACCTTTACAGTGATGTGATACGATTGAGTATTATTTAATAGAAAGAGCATCGAAACACGGGGCTATTTGATTGACAGTATAAATCAGATTGACGAGTGTTTTGATGTTCTTTCTCTCTGGTTTCATAGTCAAACATAAAAACACGTTCCCTGTTGTCATAAAGAAACACCTGAATATGATCTTTCTGTCGCCACAATAAGTAAACCCCAGGAAAATGAACCAATCAATGGGCATGCTCTGGAATGCCGGTAAGTAACTAATTTCTGCACTACAGTTAACGCACTTTGCATGAATATGTATACGATTTTACTCTGACACATTTTCAACAGAAAGGTCCCCAAACACTATGATACAAGTAACACATACACTTCGCATTTGGTCAGCAAAGTAGAAAAATCCATCACTGAGTTAACTTTCTGGATAGCTCTCTCATATTTATCAAATGGTCGGGTCTGGATTCGGACACACGGTAGCTAGTTGCAGGTGATCCGAAGTCAGCGAGATTAACTTCTCGGCTCCGTATGCTACACTAGTTAAGTTACTGTCAGTCAGGTACATATATACGATTTAAAAGCAGTCGATGAACCGTCTGGATATTTAACCGACATTAAGCTTGGTTCCCGGCGTGTACTCATTAGTTTTCTATATAGCAGTTAAAGGCAGGCTAGTGTACTAATCGACATTTAGTCTTATGCCAATTATCAGACAAGCGATACAATAAGAATTTCATCACAACCTATTTGTTAACAAATAGAGCACAAATCAATGTTTATTGTTAAATCTATTGTTATTCAAATAAAAAAAGAGAGTAGGAAACACCACATTAACGTTCCGAAAGAATATATAAGTATATTCATATCTTACCGCAACAATCACGTCTATTCAAGATTGTGATTCTTCTCACAAGTTTCGTGTGTTCCAAGTTGACCATCCACCAGTGATGTTTACTTCTTTGTTCCGTATGTGTGCATTGGTAGTGCGTTTTATCGAACATTTCTGAAATCCAAACTCCATCTACAGCCTTATCTGATGATGCATTGCCCCAGACTTTCGTGTCTAATGTCGAGCTCTGGTTGGAAGGTTTGTGTTCCGCCCAATTATTCTGAGACATGTCTTTAATTTAAAAGATACACATTATTATGCCTGTATATTTGTAATCTAAAGTGTTTATTTAAAAATTCATAAAAGCCTTTGATATTTACAGTACACGACATAACATTTTTTTCTAATTCTGAATATCTAGCACTAAATATGAGCTATGTTAAGTTAACTATTAAATCGTAGGTTATCTATTATTGTAAATAGGTAAAACAGCTGGTCATTAAAACATCAAAATTGTTCAACTAATGACTTTTTACATCCCATTACAAAAATGATTCAACATACATATAAAACAATGAGAACAAGAAATGTCAAAATGGACCATAACCCACCCCACCCTTACCTTAAACGGATAGTAAGAATAAGATACTATTAGCTAAAATATAAATATGTAGATCACTAGGTCAAATCTATATCACTGTTCAAATCTGAATCTAAAATTGTGGTTGTATTTCAAATTTCAATACTGTTGCTCTTAATACAGACATTTTGACCACGGGGTCAAAATCAAGATGAATTATGCATCTTAAACTGTGTGTACAGACCAAATATCATTGTTGTACCTCTATTAACCAAAAAGTAAGTCATAGGGTTAAAATTTTAGTCAAGTTCAGTTCTAAATTTGAAATTGTAAATATAGTCCAAAGTTTATAAGCGGAGCTCTGTAACACCGCACTTTGGGGTCAAACGCACTTTGCAGTCCAACCCCAAAGTGCGGTTAACTTCACGGCGCACTTTGAGGTCAAATGCTACATATCAACGCACTTTGGGTTTCAAAGTTCTGAAGGTGTCAACTGAGTTAAATTCTTAAATACCCAGTACTGACTTATTTTCGATCTACGACACTGAACTATTTGAGGTGGAGCTCATAATGACGGTCAATACTTATATACATCAATATTTCTACGTCATTTAAATGCTGATGTAGCAGTAATAAAAATATGTGTTTGATGTTTTATTGAAGTGTTTTATTTATGTTACCACTTGAAATATTTAAAAGTCGCGGCTATATAAAAACTGCTATAGTACTTCTGCTATAGTTACTACGTAACGCACTTTGAGGTCGGACCCCAAAGTGGGTTGGACCCCAAAGTGCGGTGTTACATAGCTCAAAATATACAAAGGAAGTCAGTGGATCAAAATATGTGCTGGAGAAGAGTT